CAGCTATGGCTGCTCTTGCTCAAGCCGCCCTGCCTGCCTCTGCCTCGAAGCTTCTTGGAGTAGCTCTCCCCTGGCGGGGGCCTTCCTGCTGCAGCACCCACCAAGGTGATCAAGATGGCTGCCACCATAGCCAGGTAAGTACCTCTAGCGCTCCTCCCTAGTCCTGGCCTTCTTCCTCCTCCGTGTCCTTGCTCCTTCCCCAGCAGCACTGCTCCAAGCTAGCGCTGCTCCAGCCAGCGCTCCAACCAGTGTGTCGCCAAACTTGCACACCGACAATGAGGCTGGGCTCCTTGCTGGCCTGAAGATATAGCGGCCTGCTTGCCTCTTGGCCGGTGACTTCCAGGCCGCTCGGCCTCCCAAGCAACCGGTGCCTCCTCACTTCCGGAGGGAACATCATTGCAGACTCTGATATTGCCCGTACAGGCCCTAGACTCAGACTGGTTGGACTGGTACCCGCCTAGACCTAGCCTACAGCTACCGGCCTCTAAAAATGCCAACKTTTTGTYTTCTTGTGCTCGGCCTCRAGTACCCGGCACATCTACCTCTTCGGGGTGTGGTACCGGCCTACCTGCTAYTTGAGTGTTTCACGCTGCCTCAAGTGCTGCGGGCCTCTTCCCGCCACTTGAGTGTTTTTCCCTGCTGCAACCCTCCATGTCACGGCCACAGGTAAGTACTGGCCCTACGGGCCCAATGAACGAACAAGTGCCCTTACGGGTCACACACACACTCAAGCACACAAGCACTCAGACAGGCATGCACACCAGCAAACACGCACACACACAGACTTAGCAAACCCAGCAACAAGCGTSAAACCCAGTAAGGCATTCATCCTATGAGCAAAACTCAGAAATCAGCTGTGTGTCTCAGTCCGTGTTTTGGCGGATCATCACAGGAGAACCTTTTCGTTGGTTCATGGAGAAATCATCAACTAGCGGCAGTCAGATYACGTGCTTGAGTACTTGAAGACCGSCTTGAACAGAGGTTACAGAGGTACGTCTTAGATCGTAGGCATTAGAGAGTCAACCACACCCAGTATGCAGGTAACCTGGAACGCTTGGAAATCTTGGATAAAAAACTCTCAAGCGAGGCGCCAGCATAAAGCCAACAGTTTCCAGCTGCTTTCGAAAASTTAATCCTTGCAGTCTTATCTCTATATCAACCCAGGGCCTGTCGTATAGGCTTGAAGAGTTGATAGATGTACGGCAGACTCGGTAGTCAATCCTCCTCTGTGAATGAACCAATGCTACCTAGCCTAGGAAAGAGGTCACTGACAGCCACTGCTGTAGCCTTCTATCTGACAAATCAGGCGTTGAGTTAWGAAGTCCGTCCAGAATGATCATGGGTACGTGGTCAGATRTGAAGCCCTGTATGCAATTGTTTTATGAGACTGAGARCCCGTTTCCCAGCAGGTACTGCTCCCCACCTATAAAATGGAGCAAAATTTAATCASTTCTGTTAAAAAAGAAAGTCTTATAACAGAGAAAGAAAAAAGAAAACAACTGGAAGTACAGATTCCAGTCGGTATTGGCAACCCCTGGACATATTCCTTCACTATATCTCACCTCAAGCAACACTGCGAGCCTCCAGCTGGCAGCTACTAGCAACGGCAGAAAGTGATTGAAGCAACATACCAAGCTAAGTGCATGTACTTTGCCAAGAATGAGAAAAGACACAGACAACTTGATAACCCCCGTGTGCATCAATTCAAAAGATGTTCAATGAAGCACAGAAAATTTCAGAAAAGGGTAGGCGTGAAGCACCATAGCCATGAAGCYCAACTGGCRGAGCTACCCTACACATGTTTCAGCCGGGCCRCCAGAACGCCATCCATCTTCAGGGGCTTGCGCTGGTGATAYAGAGTGAAAGGACAGAATAGACCTACTTATGCCAGTCATCGTCGAAAATGGAATATCCCACGAGTCACAAGGGGGGATAACTGGGCGGGAAGGGACCGGTACCGAAATAAACCACCATTACCCCAGGGGGTCTTAGGCCCCCTCTGAAGCAAATTCATATGGACCCGTGCTGCACACTGATTCAGCCTCCGCGCTAACGCCTAAGAACGTGCTACGTACTGGTGGCATAACTGTGCTGGACCGGACCATCTGATAGGTCCTAACCAGCTCAACAGACCAGTATCCTATCCTAGGACCCAAGGTTCAGACAGGTTCAGTTCATAAAACRAGCAACCCGTGGAGACCATGCTCCCCCAATACGCACATTGAAACTGCTCAAAGCCTTATCGAAATAACCATCTGGAAACCCCAGTTGCCTAAGTCACATCTTAAGGGTAARAACAAAGGACGCTTCTGCTGCAGGTAAGGTGCCCATTGTGTACGCTCTRTGCAAAACATACCATATGACAGCAAGCTTCTGTTTCTTGCTACAGTATGAACAAAAATCCTTTAAATTCTGAAAGATCAAACCCTTTCCTTCAAGCAAACACTCCTGATTCTTATGCAATGCCTGACAATATACTCGAACCGGT